TTACCGATAAAAATATGCATTTGAAATTTGGGTTACCTAAAACCTATTCCACATTTATGCTTAATCATATCTAAGATATGAACTTGTAATTAAATTTACGGTAATTCCAAAAGTCAAACATAAGATTCAAATTCTTTCTTGTTAAATTTTTTCTAAATGTACACTATGTTGTAAGCAAAATTACTCTTAAGATTATAATCTATATTTGACACGTATTGATAGCAGACATCAATCCAAAAGGTCGACCTTTGACTTGACATATAGCAAGACTAATTATTATTGGAAAGTTTCCCAAATCTATTAATTCATTTATCAATCTTACAATAAGATCAATCAATAGATGCATCAACCAACATTTAATGTTATAGCTTCATGAACTTGCTAAGCTATATAACCAAGATTTATTCGCATTCAAACTTTGCTATTAATGATTCAATATTGACCGAATTTGAGGGGAAAAATCTACATGCAGAACAGACACTACTATGAGTTATTAATGTAGATTTTCATCCCTTTCCCGACATCCTATTGTTGATCCTTCCGTATTTGGTGAGTATCTTCCTTCGCTAAATTGTTCCTGTCTTTTGATATGTTGATAATGGTAATTTTGATGGAGGTGTTTTTCTTGATAATCATTTCCATCATGAAGGTTCTCATGCTTGTGGTTGCTATAACATTTCTGCTATCGTCTTTGTTTCTTTATTATGTATGCTGCACTCTCTTAATATTTGTCCCTATTGTTAACCATTTGATTCTTTTTAGTTTTCTCATTACTTTTGTTTTTCTACTGTTTTCCTTGTATCGATTTTACCTTCGGAAATCACGGTAGCAGCTTCCACTAACGATTGCTTGGAAGAGCCAGCAGCAGGTGAAACAGCCGAGGAAGAAGATGAATTCAGCGAAGGGTTGGATGAACTGGGCGATGAAATTGGTGTTGGAATCGGTTGGAAACTAATCAAATTCTGAATTGTCTCCGACCATTCACTGTCTCCAACTCCAATAAGCAATGATCCATCATTTTCTTATATGGGTCAGTTGCATGAATCTCCGTAGAATTGCAATTTTTATTTTGAAAATTGGAATTGGAATTTTGAAGGATGGAATTATTCACATGTGTGAGTTTTTAATACTAGGAGTCGAGTGAAGAAGCATGGCTAGGGGGGAGGTAGAACTAGAAGAATTGTTGACCAAATCAGTTGATGAATTTGAGAAATCCATAGGAGAAAGAGGTGAAAGAGGAGAATAAAATTGAAATTTTTAAGGGTTGACAGAGCAAAGTATAAGGTTGAAAAAAAATTGTTAGCAGTTAATGAGCTCTACGTATAACTTAGCATTTAATTAATTTGTGAATTAATAGTTGTTGAAAAATTTGTGTTTATTATCATCCAATTGGTTTACGTACGCATATCTGACCTTTTCGATAATAGGTTCGGTTAAACGATTCGATTTGACTTGTTTCTGTTTTGTCATAAAACTTTTGAAAATAATTTTTGCCAAAAATTTTGTTTTTAATTGGTGATCTATTCAACCCTCCCCCTCTAAATCAAAACCTATCGTCTAACACTTCTTTCATATGGCACATGACTATAGCATAATCATCCAAATACCTTGAGATGAGTGATGCAAGGCTTTCCTGACAAACATTCTTCTAGAACCTGATTCTTTAATTTATTGTAAGACATCTATTTAGAACATAAGCACCACTAGACACTACTTCACCCCGGAATATATGAGGCAATGACTTTTGTTTCAACATACTCATAGCCATTTTGACCAAACTTCTATTTTTTCTTTCAACCATGTCATTCTGTTGAGGTATGTAGGCGGAGTTACTTCATGCAAGATGCCACTTTCATGACATAATTGCTTTAATTCATGGGAATTGTGTTCACCTCATCCATCTATCCTAAGTATCTTGATCAGTCTTCCACTCTATTTTTTAGCCATTATCTTAAACCATTTGAACATGTTTAAAGGTTCTCCTTTGATCTTTATCAGGTACACTCACAACATCCTATTGAATTCATCTACAAATGAGATGAAGTACTTGCTTGCTCCACACGAAAGAGTTTCAAAAGGACCACAAATGTCAGATGAAACTACATTCAGTAAATGTTTGTCTCTCATTGACAACTGCTTCACAAAAGGTAACCTACTTTACTTCCTAAGCATGCCAAATGTCACATGATCTTAGGCAGTCCTTCTACTAAATTCATAGTATTCAACTTGCCTAGACTTCTAAAATTCAGGTGTCAGCTTTCTTCATCGGGATTTGACGAATAAAGTCTATGTGATTCTGAGGCCTTCAAACTAGCCTTCTAGATTCAGTTTTTGGTCATAATTGATTTCAGAACCATTATTTTCTTCTTGTAATACAATTTTAGTGAGTCTCCTTCCATGATTACTGAGAATCCTTTCTCTACCAGTTGACCAATGCTTAACAGATTACATTGCATGTTAGAGACAAATAACACATCTTCTATTAATGTTGTTTTGCCTTCCTTTCTTTATATAAGAATCTTGTCTATGCCTTATGCCATTAAGCTTCTTCTATCTACCAGCTTCACACTTATCTTCTTGTTTGAGTTAATGTCAGTCAACCACCCTTTTGTCCAATCATGTGGTTAGAAACACTACAGTCTAAATGCCATACATCAGAGGCTAGAGCCCTTTCAGAGGTAGTTATCATTAACATGATAGGATTTGAATCTGAATCATCTTTTACCATGTTAGCTTCCTATGCACCAGCCTTTTTCTTTCCCTCTCTAAACCAGCAATCTGAAGTAAAGTTACCATACCTATCACAATTGAAGCATTTAATCTTTCTCTTTTTGGAAAACTTTTTTTTGTTTTGAAATTTGCTAGATCCTCCTCCTCCTTTAGAGGATTTAGATCTTTCTTCAAACTTCTTCTTCTTCTCCTTGCTATTGGGTGTGGCTTCTTTATAGTTCTTTTCTTTTTCCTACTTCCACTGTCTTTTTATTTCATCAAAATCTCCATTTCTTGAATGAGTAATCTGAGTCTGTTCAAAATCTTTATCTATCTCTTTTTAATTCAATCTTAGTTATGTGCTTTCAAGGGATCCTTGCAGATCCTACATCTTCATTGTTTCTAGATCTTTGATTTTCTCAATTGTTATTACAATCATATCATATTGAGGGTGAGACTTCGAATTACCTTTTCAACATTCATTTTCTCTGTCAACGTCTCTCATGAATTCATCATCTGATTGATTAATTTTCAAACCCTTGTGAAAAAAAATCTGATATCGATTCGCCTTCTTTCATATGCAGCATTTAATACTGCTTTCTCAAATATTGGAGGCGCACCTTCTTGATCTTGGCATCTCCACCATAGTTTTTTTCCATCATATCTCATGCTTCTTTCAAAGTTGCAACATGAGATATTTTATCAAACACCTTCGCTTCAACGCATTGGTGAATGTAAAATATGACATTCTGATCTTTCTTTTTGGATTCCTTGTATGATGTCTTTTGAGCATCAATCGCATTTTCTACTAGCGGTTGAAACCCTTCTGCTACATACTCAGACACATCTTAAATATTGAAGATGACTCTCATCTGAATGCACTATTTTTTCCAATTCTTGCCATTAAAAACTGGAAGATTTGCAGGGAAGTTGTTGTTGACTATTTCAACCATAGCTACAATCACTGTTGAATCTGGATCAAAACCGGTCTCATGATATTATATGTTGGTGTTATTACATCTTGCAAATGCATAAACTAATTGAGAGAAAGATAGAGAGAGTGTTTGAGTGAAAGGGAAAAAAAGAGAGAGGAATAAATATTGAATAATAGAATAGATAATTGTTATTAACAAGTTGTTGTTACAAAACTATACAAGCAATTATTTTATATATATTTGTAGCAACCTTCACTTTTTGTTCAGAATCATTCTCAAAAAGAAGTAGCAGCTTACATCCCTTGAATCCTTCAATAAGACGGAGTCACTATTTTTGTTATCTTCTTTATGAACTTTACTTGACGAAATACATATTATGTTGTTTACATAAGTCCATATAAAATAGCTCCAATCTATATTTTCCCCAAGGAATAAATACAAACTTAAAAAACAAATAAGAAATAATAGTTTAATTTTGATACAGCCTCAATGCAGAAAGTTTTACAGAATTAAAAAATCATAATTGATGACAACATTTGTGTAACTAACTAATGAAATTAAACTGCCATGGAAAGTGAAGTATAGATTGTTCCCTATTGATAGCAGACACCAATCCAAAAGGTTGATCTTTGACTTGACATATAGCAAGACTAATTATTATTGGAAAGTTTCCTAAATCTATTATTCATATATCAATCTTACAATAAGATCAATCAATAGATGCATCAACCAACATAATGAAGAAAGTTAAAATTTTAGATACTCTTTTCCTTCATATCTGGTTTATATATATAATTTATTAATAGAATTTAAAAGTTAAAATTTAATATAAAAAATAATGAAGAAAGTACTTGCATATAGCTTGATTAACTAAGGTACAATTTCTATTGTCTCGGTTTTATTTATGTTTGTGGTTTAATTTGAGTTGTCGATTTAATTAATTTATTTGATTAGCTTATATCTCTACCCGTACTAATATTATTTTAACCTAACCGAAAGGATATTACTATGAACTCTACCAAACATACACCAACTTCTCTGTTTCCCACATCGAAGTTATGATGAATGATGATGACTAAAAACAATAATTGAATTATAATATCTATAAATAAATGCATGCAACATAAATATTTTGAAATTCAAACACTTTTTATTAGTCTTGTTTGGAATTTACAAAAAAGAAGAACCAAGTGTGTTCCAAGTACAATTTCCCAACCCCATAAAAAAAAGAGTACAATTTCCCAACACTATTTTTTTTACTGTTATCCATTACCTCTGGATGAAGTTGAAATATACCCGGTAACAATGTCACATCTAAAAATATTCATAAAAATAAAAAATAAAAAGTGAGTGGAGTTAACTCCAAGCAGATGCGACGGTTAGTGTTTTTCCCATCCACCCAAAGCTAACCCCACCGTTTTCTTCATTCACTATAACTCCGCTACCTGGTTCGAGTCGAGCTTTTACCGACTCAGCAACTTTCTGACTCACCGAGTTCAATCTAAACCCAGCCATACTCAAGCGTGCACGCCACTTCCCAAACACTTCACAGCGCTCCACGCGATCCCTACCTTCACAAGCAACTACGTTACCCAGTTTCCGACTCAGCCCCTCCTCGATCTTGTCTCGCTCCGTTGTGGACTCAATTGAGTCAAGCAAGGCACTGTAATAGGAAAACGACTCACCCACACGTGCGACAAAAGGAGCTGTGTTTGTGTTAATCTCTTGCTCCAGAAGAGTTACTACACGTGGGGCAAGTGCATTCACGCGCCTGAGAAGCTCGTCGCGTGGATTCTCGGTTGACACGCTTTCGTCTGGAATTCTGAAAAGTTTGAAAGCGAAATTGACAGCAAGAATATCCTCTGAGTTACAACCCAAAGCCTCGCGAGTTAACTCAGTGATTTTCAGTGCTGAGACTTTGAATTCAAACCCGATTCCCAATTGCTCAGCTTCTCGACTCAAATTTTCTTCCACCATCTTCAACTTCTCATCCTTGCTGTTATCGACTACAGCTGTGATTTTCAACGTCGCCGGTGAACCTTTGTGGCGCTTGTGTAGCTCATAGAGAAGGTTCACGTATCTTTTCCCGTCACCAATATCAAAATCCACCACACAGAGATTCTTCATATTGTTGTTTCTGTCAGCGCTCTCTGTCGTTTCATCAAATGTAGCTTCGATGATTGCAAGGTTGGCAGCCATGAAAGCGACCTTAAAGCAGAGAGAATTATCGAACAGAAGCTGAGTTGACTCAGCATGTTCCTTACTAAACAGTTCCGCTACCGGAGGTGGACTTTCAAAATGATTCACGCGCGATTTCAGCGCTGAGATCATAAAGCCTGTTAATCTACTCTCAAAATTCACTGATGGATTCAGTGTTTGAGCCAAACGATTAAGGATCTCCGATGCATGATCGATTCTACCTTCGGAAATCGCGGTAGCAGCTTCCATTAACGATTGCTTGGAAGAGCCAGCAGCAGTTGAAACAGCCCAGGAAGAAGATGAATTATGCGAAGTGTTGGATGAACTGGGCGATGAAATTATTATCGGATTAATCAAATTATTAAGATCACACCATTCATTGTTTGTGATCCCAGGATTTGCTTCTTGTTCTTCTTCGTCATTGTCTTCAAGAAGATGTTTCTCCAACTCCAATAAGCAATGATCTATGGTTTTCGTATTTGGATCGGTATCAGTTGTCTGAACCTCTGCGGAATTGGAATTCTGATTTTGAAAATTGTTATTTTGGAGGATGGAGTTATTCACCGGTGTTGAGTTTTCAGAGGCTGGGTTGTAGCTAAGAAGCCTGGCTATAGCAGAGGTAGAACCAGAAGAATTGTTGACCAAATTGGTGGACGGATTTGAGAAATCCATAGTAGAAAGAGGTGAATGCGGAGAACCATATTGGAAATTTCTAGGTTTTACAGAACGAAGTACAAGGTTGGACAAATATTGGTTAACAGGATTGTGTATACTACCTGTGTTGTTGCTAAGGTCGTCGTCGTCGATGAAGTTGGATTGGAATCCAGCCTGAGCGTTAGCAGTATTGTGTCTACTAAGGCTGTTGTTGCTAAGGATATTGTTGTTGTGGGTTTGGAATTCTGCAAGAGTGCGTTTTCCGAGGAGGTTAGATGTATGACGTTGTGCGATTTGGGAAGAAGGGTCAAGGTAATTTCTTATAAGATTGGATGACCGGTTCTGAGCGTTTTGAGAAGAAGACCCGATGAAAGTGGATGGTAGTTGTTGTTGTTGGGTTCTGAAGAAATGATTTTGATAATTCTGGGTTGTAGTGGTGGTGGGATTAGATGGTAGTTGTTGTTGGGTTCGGAAGAAAGGGTTTTGAAAATTATTGGTTGCAGTGGTGGTGGCTGCAGTTGGGAAATTATTGGTATTGTGGTTCATATTGTTCAGGTTGGATGGAATTAGGGTAGATCTGCCGGAAGGGTTACCGGCTCTGCCGTAGAGATCGGAGGCTCCGAAGCCGCCGGGGAAGCCAGGTGAAGACATCTCTCACTAAACCTTTGATTAATTGCAGAAAGGCATAGAGAGAGAAAATGGGTTTTTTTGGTTTACCTGTGATGTTGAAAGTTGAAATGCTGAATTTAACGAAGGTTTTAAGCTTGATTAGGAAAAGCGAGTAAATGAGATTTTTTATTCTTTGTTCCTTTGGATATTTTAAACGGTACGTGTACAGTGAGTGTTTCCTTTTAAGTTTGATGCTGTTGTGATAACAGCCGTTGGATTGTTTCGTATACGGGGATTATAGATTCATCGGACGGTGATGAGTGGATAATACCGAAACGTATTTGCAATGTAATGATGATGAAATTTAATTCTGGATTGGGAAATCTCATCGGGTTATCCCACGTCAATGCTTACGCGCGTGTGTGTTATTTTTACGTGTATAATCTAACCGTTCTTGTGTTTTTTTTTGGATGGGATCAACGGTTCCCGTGTTGTTTGTTGAATTGTTTGTGTTATTACCATTTTAACACAAATATTTACTTGATATGTTTGAGAAATTGTTCATGAATTTAACACCGATCATGGTTAGGTACACACTTCTAGATGCAATTTTAAATAGAAAATTTTATTAATTAAGGTTTTTGCATAAGATTAATCTTGTAAAAAAAGCTAAACAATATTTATAAATTCAGATTCATTTTTTATTGATTTTTGAAGAAGAAAAATGTTTATGGATAAGATCAAATTATGACTCAATTTTTCGTAATTATTCTTATCTTTAACTCAAGATATTCTCTATATATATTTATCTAAAATGGTTCAATATGGTAGATTATAGCTAACTAATGGCCCTCGAGGCATAAAATTATAATCTCATATCCCATGCAGATGACATTATGTCATTATGCAAAGATAAAATTTAAAAGAGCAAAGGGAAAATAAATTGAATTAAAGACATGGTAGAAACTAGAATTCACACAATAAAATATAGATTGAAAGCTCAAATCACTTAATTTATTATTCAAGAAAAAATTTAACTTAAATAACTTTTACAACTTGAAAATGGACGATAGGTTTAAAGGTCTAACAAACAGAAACAAAAATATTATCTAGACCTGAATAAAAGGTATGTTTATTAACTAATAGCAACTATCAAAATAAAACAAATTTTACAGAAGAATAGGTCCATCAAGAACCATCAATCCCTCCTTTAAGCTGAATATTGTAAGTAAATTAGATTCTTTCTATTGCAGACATCAACCCCAGCTTCTCTTGTTCAATGGTTTTATTATAACATCTGTAATCTGATTTTGAATATTACAGTACTTCAATTTCACAGTTTTTTCATTCACCAAGTCTCTCAAAAAATGAAACTTCGCATCTATGTGTTTACTCTTGCCATGGAACATGAAATGCTTTGATAATTGTATTGTCGGATAGTTGTCACAATACATTAGGCTGCCTTCTTCTGCTTTATGCACATTTCTTTCGAGTAATCTCATAAGCCAAATGTATTGACATGCACAAGAAGTCGCGCCAATGTACTCAGCTTCAGTGATAGATAATGCAATCACAAATTGCTTCTTTGATGACCAAGAAACTGCACCTCCTATAAGAAGAAATGCAAACCCAGAAGTATTTTCCTGTCATTAAGGTCTCCTGCAAAGTTGTTGTCTGTGTATGCCACCACGTTTGTGATGCTTTCTCCTTTGTAAAGAATTCTCATTTCAATTGTACCATTAATGTATCTTAATGTCCTCTTTGCTGCACACAAATGATCCTCCTCAATTGGAGATGACATATATATGCTAATCAAACTCACTCTAAACACAATGCCTGGTGTCATTACTGTTAAGTACATCAAACTTCCAACAACTTGCTTGAACATGGTTCAGTCTATCTTGGTTCCCTTCAGTATCCTTGGAGAGCCTTGTACCTGACACAATAGGATTTCCAACTAGTTTGTTATCAGACATGTCAAACCTTGCCAACATTTTTCTCTCATTTCTTTGACACATGAATATCCCCTTTGAATTCTATATAACTTACATGCCAAGAAAATAGCCCATCTTTCCCAAATCATAAATTCTCGCATCATTGACATCTTAAATTCCTCATACATACTTTTATTATTCCTAGTATAAATCAAATCATCAACGTAAAGACTGACAATTAGGAATTTACCTCCCTCATTTTCTTTTGTAAAGAGCGTATGTTCAGAAGCACACCTTTCAAAGCTCTCTCGAACGAAGTAGGATTCTATGTGGTTGTACCATGCTCGCGGAGCCTATTTTAGTATGTATAAAGCTTTGTTTAGCTTATATACCTTTTATTTTTCTCCCTTCTTCTCAAAGCCAGTAGGTTGTAGTACGTATACATCTTCTTCAAGTTCTCCTTGAAGGAATGAACTCTTGACATCTAAGTAGTATACTTTCCACTTGTTTTGAGTTGCAGTTGCCTAGATAAGTCTTATTGTATCAAGACGAGTCACCGGAACAAACACCTTTGTATAGTCAATCCCATATTGTTGCGCATATCCTTTGGCCACCAATCTATCTTTGTGTTTCTCTATAGTTCCATGCTCGTAAAGCTTGATTTTAAGAACCCATTTAAATCCAATAATTTTGACTCCACTCAGCAAGGTTGTGAGTTTCCACCTGCCATTTTTCTCTATCGAATCAATCTCTTTAGCCATCACATCTCTCCATTTTTTTTCTTTCACAACTTTATTGTATGTGACTGGATCTTCTATTCACTTAGGAAGTCTTTGAATTAGATTTCTTTGGACCAAATGGCCTCTTATAGACCCATGAAATGTGAGAGGAAAAAATATCTTATTTGTCTCTGGCGTGCCACACTCTATCTAAAAAGGAAAAGAAAAGTTTTTGTAAGTGTTTGCATGATATCAAAGTTTTCCAAAGTTACTCTTCAAGCATCAAGAAACTTGTATAAATGAAAGATCTCAAGTTAGTTGGCTCAAAATCTCATGATTGCCATGTCTTGATGCAACAACTTCTATCAGTGGCTATCTTGGGCATCCTTCCAAAAAAATGTAGAGTAAGTATAACCAAATTGTGCTTATTCTTCAATGCTATATGTAATAAAGTTCTTGATTTAAAAAACTTAGATGAATTAGAAGATGTGGATGCAATAATATTGTGTCAATTTGATATGTATTTTCCTCCATCATTTTTTGACATTACGGTTCACTTACTTATTCATCTAGTCAAAGAGATCAGATATTGTGGTCCAGTTTATTTAAGGTGGACGTGTCTTATTTAGCGATACATGAAGATATTTAAAGGATATATTAAGAATCATCACCGACCAGAAGCTTATATCATTAGAAGGTACATCACAAAAGAAGCTCTTGAGTTTTATTCAAACTATTTGTCAGAAACAGAGTGTACTGGAATTCTAAAGTCTCGTCATGCTGAAGAAAATTTGAAAGTAGAGGTACTCAAGATTGAAATTCTAAGTTAATGGGTCAGGATGTAGTAATTCAAGCACAATTATATATTTTGAATAATCTTAGTGTAATTGAACCTTATATAGCTGCTCACAAAATAGTTATAAAGAAAAAATATCCCCGAATGAATGATAAGTTGTTGTTGACCTGACACAATAAGGAATTCATAAGTTGGTTTAATATGAGAATTTCTAATGATGATTGTGCATCCAAGACAATTAAATGGTTATCGTACATGCCAAAATTTACTGTGATAACTTGGACAATATACAATATTTCTAATTATTCCTTTTAAACAAAAGCAAAAGATGATCGTAGTACAATGCAAAATAATGGGGTTATATTTGAGGATGAATCCATGTATTTCTCTAGTTCGAAAGATAAGAATTCAATTTTGGCAACTTCCGCATTCTATGGTTTCATTGAGGAGATTTTGGAGATTGGTTATGATACTTTCAAAGTGCCTTTATTTAAATTCAAGTGGGTTCCCAATAACAATGGTGTATAAATTGATGATTTAGGGTTCACATAGGTTGACCTTGGCAAGGTAACTTATAACACTGAACCATTCATCATGGCAACTCAAGCAAAACAGGTTTTTTATGTGATAGACTCCACGGACATTTCGAGAAGATGGTCAATTATTCTCAAAGGAAAAAAATTCCTCCTAGTGATGATGAAAGTTTTAATATTCCTTTCACTCCTTATGCAACACAAGTACCTAACTCATATGAAGAAGTTGATAGAGATGATGTACATGCTATTCGTAACGATCATCAAGAAAGCATATAGGAAAATTATAAAGTAAGTATTTTATATTCCTCGATCATAATATATTGTATGTTATAATTACTAATGATGTTATTTTCTAGAAACTATTATTATTTGAAATTATAGGTGTTTAAAGTCAACACACCAAGAGCAAGACACAAAGATAACAAGATAGTACTATTTGTTGTAATGATGTGTACATTGTAGGTTATTTTGTACCATTTTGATTTTGATGTAATATATAATTTTTGGTTCCTAACGGAATTGTTTCATTGATGCAATACAATTTTTGGTCTAATTCAATTCAAAAATGGTTGTATTTTTGTTTCTAGTCTTATATGATATTCAGTTTTAAAATTTGGGAATACAGTTAAATTAGGATATATATATATATATATATATATATATATATATATATATATATATATATATATATATATATATATATATATATATATATATATATATATATATATATATATATATATATATATATTATAAGTAGAGCATGCTATCCAAAATAATAAAAGGAAATAATGGAGTTGTTGGGATTCGAACCCAGGACTTATAAATTATTTCATAACGGTTGATTGAGTAAACTGTTGTTATAAGTAGCGTGCTACCTAACTTATAACCACAATTTGTCGCTCGTTGTGGAAACCACCATACATACAATTACACGCTACCTAACAACATATGTGAAATCATTATTATAAATGTTTCTCAACCGTCATTACATGTGTTATCCGTAGTAGTGATGAGAAATTTTCTTTAACCTAGTGATATCTTCTTCAAGAAGTTG